CTGTCTTTTGATGGCAAACTGTTTTAGTCTTCATTACCTTTTCTCTTTTACTCCCTATTAAGTTATCAGAGGCTGATGTTTGTTAAAGTTTTCATACGTGATATTAATATAATTTGACCATCTTCTATTGCTTTAAGATTGTGGATTTTCAAATAGATTTGTAATCAATAGGGCCTCCATAAAATAAATCAAACCCGGCAGTGTTTCTTCCCCCTTTCTTCTTTCCTCTTCTCAATTTTCTCTTCCAGTTACTTTTAATTTTCTCGTCCTTGCACTCTCTTTCCACTTTCCTGTATTTTGGCAAAACAGGCTGCACAACAGAAAAGCTGGGTCATGTGAATGCCCAAGAGATTAATCAACCTTTGTGCCTTGAAGCCTCCCGAGCAGTTCAAGTCAGAACAGCAAAGAAAGAATCTGCAGCAGAATTATCGTTCTGGAGATGAGTAACAGCCTCTTCAAAGCCCTGTTGGATATATGTATACACACATATATATTTTGCCTTATTTCTGACCTAATCTTACTATTTTCCAATTCTGAATGTTGATAAATTACATATAAAATTGTAGCCTGCAGCAAAACTCAAAGCTGGTTATACATTTTTTTAGTTACATTGAAGATTAGCTGTACAGCCTTCTCTCAGTTACAGGCCAAAGTCTGCTCCTGTTGAAGGTTCTATCTTTGACAATAGCAAGACTGTAGCTACCCAGAAATAAGCACTCTGCTAAAACCACTCCGTTTTAATCTTACTTTCAATCTCGCACAAACAAGGAAATGCATTCTTGTGCACCTGCAACAAAAGGAGCTTTAGTGCTCGGGGTAAGTGGCGCTTTTTTCTCTTTATGCACTTCAGTTCCTCTTCATGCACAAAAGCTGAAGCAAAACGAGGCTTTGGACTTTCCCTGGGTTCCTATTATTTAGGGCTGCAAATAAAACTGGGAAATTCCGTCACCCTACCAGTAGGAACAGCTTCAAGAAGCCAAGACAGACAGCAGACGAAGAGACTGTCACGTAAGCGCGTACACTTCATGTACTCCGTACCGCTTCGGTTTGCGTGCTGCGTTTCCCGCCCTGGGGTGCTGCCCTCCAGGCCCCTCACTCGAGCACTCGGCCGGGGCTGGGAGAGCCCGGGCTGCCTGAACTTCCTGACGGGGAACCGGACCGAGAGGAAAGCAAGCGAAAAGGGGCAGACCCGAAGGATTACCCAGGAGCGGTCCGGCGCCGACGGCGCTGCGGCCCCGCCGGGCGGTACGGGGGCGGGGGGCCG